TCCTGTCTGCCATGAATATCTGCTTTCTAGCTCTGTGCATATAGGCATTCTCTTGAAAAGACAGATCTATCATATTAGTTCATTTATTGTACCAGCTATCTTATACTGCAATACCAGAAAAGGGCATGACAGCTCCTGAAAAAGAGAAAAAAATGTTGGGGAAAGGAAGGAGGGGGAAGTAAAATAAGTAATAATTGACAACAGATGTCAAATACGGTTTTGTAGTTTTACCATTACTATTTGAAAATTAGTTTATGAATACCTGTAGAATCATGGAATCATAGAATCCTTAAGGTTGAAAGGGACCTCCAGAGGTCATCTAGTCCAACTCCCCTGCACATGCAGGGTCACCTAGAGCACGTGGCACAGGGCTGCATCCAAGCGGATTTGGAAGATCTCCAAAGAAAGAGACTCCACAACCGCTATGGGCAGCCTGTGCCATGGCTCGGTCACCCTCACTGTTAGGAAATTTTTCCTTAAGTTACTGCGGAACTTTTAGTGCCTCAGTTTGTGGCCATTTCCTCTAGTTCTATGAGTGGCCACCACTGAAAAGAGGCCAGCCCCTCCTCCTCACTGCCTCCCTTGAGGTATTTATAGTATAAACACTGATCAGGTCCCCCCTCAGCCTTCTCTTCTTCAGACTGAATAAGCCCCGCTTTTTCAGTTTTTCCTCATGGGGCAGATGTTCTAAGATGTTCTAAGAGAAGGCAATGGCCTACTAGATTGCACTCTTGTTTTATTTTGGGAGAATCACATTCAACTCGTGCTATTAATGAGGCACTGCGGTATTTTCACTTGTTTCTGTAAGTTTTAAGAAAAGCCTGGCACTAGATATGCTTGTATCCAGTGTTTTTTTTCTCATGAATCAGAAAAGTTGGTGATGTTATTAACTGAATAGAAGCAAGTCAGAAAATTTAGTCTTCCTGTAGGTTGTAATATTTGTCTCACCAAATTCCAGCTGGTCTCTGGCTTCTTCTGGATAGCTGGAAGATTTAAAGTCCTCTTTGAAGCCACTGTTTGAAAAACTCAAGTGTATTGATTTGCATAAAGAATGCCAAGAAGGCACTAATGCAGCAGTTGAATCTTCTGTATCTACAAAATTCCACCACTCCCATGCGTTTAACATAAAAGATGTTCACTTAGGAAGCACCCCTTAAAACTACAAAAACAAATGAGTATTACAAGCCCTGCCTACTCACATACATTGAAGAGATCCACCTTACAGGAAAACAAACAAACAAACAAACAAACAAAAAGATTTTGTAAGGTTACGAAGAGTTTTAGATTTATTTAAGTACATAAATCAGGAAGAAATCTTCAAGCACGGGTATAATCATAGTGCTTTGGGTTATCTTGTCAGAATATGAGTATTGGAGTTTTCAGTGATACTCACAGGTCTCAAGTCATTTTTTTCCACAAAGGTATCTGTGTCTTGTTCTGCTTGCATCTAAATTAAGCTTCATGAGGAATATACTTGGTATCTCTCATACATCATCACACACATACTTTCTCTTGTTCACAACATGCTGTATTTCCAGTAACACTTCACCTGGTTCACCTGTACAGTGCTGATCTATTTTCATGGCGGATACCAAAAGCACATTGTGAGATATGGTCAAGCCTGTCAAGACTTCTGGGGTACTTTTTGGTACACTGAGGACAAGTCAGCTCACACCAGGATAGCATTCCCATCATTCCGCATGTTTGGAAAGGCAAGATTTGAATAAGATCCTCTCATCCTGTGTTTCATTTCTTCCCCTGGCAAGTCAGTGACCCCTTCTTCATGTTGTGGCAACATATAGGTGCACAACTGACACCAACTTTGGGTTTAAGCACATGGGCAAATCCACATAATGTACTCCCTAAACGGTCCCAAAAGTCATACCCACTATGACCACTACTTTTAATGCATATTTTAAGAATTTTTGCTTTCCATTACCTTTGGTTTGCTCATTCACTCTCTTGTGTTTGTAGTCCTAGGTCTGGTCCTACAAGCTCCCTATAATGCTCATCATCCATTGCAATACTCCATTTTTCCCACCACCTTCTGCTGGTAAACCATACCCACATGTCTTTAGTGTCCAAAATATATGTTTCTATTTCTGATTCAAAGAAAATATGGGGTTTTCTGGGGTGAAAAATAATCCAGCTTTCAATCAGAAAGAAGTATATCTCTTACTGGAAATAAGAAAATATACTGAATATACTTTCCCTTGGAACCAGGTGCTCAGCGTAGAATCCAATTTCCATACACCGCTTAGTTACTTACGACACTAAAACTGATTTGGTTTTCTAATATTAGAACAGTTTCATTTTTATAAAGGCACTACAGGGCATGTGATGCCCTATCCTATCCAAAGTCAGCTGGGATGGGGACTTTGTATAGGCTACTACCTGAATCCATTTTCTTCCCCCCTCTCTCCCATTCTCCTTACCATTCAGTAGTTTGATAAGAATACTTTAGTATCGTAAATGAACACCATGAATATTCATTAGCCATGAAAACAGAACTGTTTCAGTTGTGTAAGTATTGACAGCAAAAACTGGTACATCTTGTTAGTGTAACCATTTTTCTTTTTATTTTAGTTATTTTCACATATATCTTCATGTAAGCTACAAAAATCGTGAAATGCAGAAATGGTATTAAAAATGCAAACTCAAAGGCTTTGATAAAATAATTAAAAAAAAAAAAGTGTCTTTTCCTGCTGACAATGACCAGAAATGACCTGCTAAAAATGAACCATATTTTGATGGAATCTTTTAACAAACATACCATACACTTCTCAGGAAATAAATAAAGAACAACGACAGAATAAACAATACCATTAACAACATAACGCATTCAGTTGTCTGTTTGTTGAAGACAATAATGAGATCTCTAGGCACAGTTTTAGGCATTAGAGAGGACACAGAGGCAATAGGTTAGTGTGCACTGCTCTGTACAAAAATACAGTCTGAATAAATTACACTGCTAGTCATAAGATTAGACTTCACTTACCAGTCAGTTCATTGCATGTTTAATAATATACAGTCACATGCTAATCCATATATATCATTTATATTTCAAACACATAGGTCTCTCTATATTTGTTTTTAAAATTTACAAAAGCTAAACGAACTTGTGCAAGAAATCCAGAAGAGGTGCTTGGTACTTGTCAGCACCGGACGGTATACTTTAAGCTTAAAAAGTACAAATAACTAGCCCTGCTTGCAAGTTTGCTCTCTCTATATATATATATTTATAGATATATTTATTCATGTATATTTGGAAGATAAACAATGGGTTTGTTGCGTAAAAAAAAAAATCATTCCCTAGTGAGATAAAGCCAAACACAAATGAAATTGTGAAGGCATGATACAAGCTTAACACACCAAACGATTTATTGTAGGTGCACTCAGACAGAGAAGTATTGTCGTTTTGTGGCTAGAAAAAAAATATTTCAGTATAATCTTATATTTACTCTCAGACTACTGTTGAAAAACAAAATGCTTGCCAAGGCTGGCAAGGGTAGGAAAAAAAAAAAACAAAATATCAGTCAAAGGTAGGTACCTTTGGGGCATCCATACTGTAAATGCCCAAATGATGACCTGAGGAGTGTGAGCAGTGTGGCCTTATGGATTGCTTTACTACCTTCAAGAGAAGAAGTGGATGTTCAGGCTCTCTGAAAAGCAGATTTCCAACTTACAGAGTAAAATGTGAATGACAAACCTTGTTTCTTGGCAATCATGTCTGTAAATCTTTTTCCTGAACGTCTTCCATCTCAAGAATCATGTGATTTTCAGTGTTTATGCAATTAATTTGCATTTGCCTTAGGCCTGACATTTCTTTGCTCTCAAACTCCACGTAAAGCAAGAAAACGGATTTGGTAAGATCAGCAGATATGATACGGGTTCAGCACTGTGCTGCTGCTTCTGGTCAACATCAGTAAAGCACCGCACAAAACTGGCACCAAAATACCACTGCCTTAGAAAAGCACACACATCTTTTCACAGCAGGCTTTTCTATATTAACCTAATTCCCATGCTAAACTATGTTCTTCATGCTGCTAACTAAAAGCAGGGCTGCACAGCCATCCAGAAAGATATAGTGTCAAATCTATACTGGATATCTGCCTTTAAGGGAGTTTCGGTGGGGGGGAAGGGGGGGGCAGTAGAGTTACAAATACTCTCATGTCTGTGAAACAAAACAGAAGTATTTTTCCCTTCCATCCTTGCTGCTCTCTAGGCATCGCCACAAGGTTCACTTCTAAGTGAACCTATCACTTTGCTCTGTTGTTCTAATCTAATTTATCACCTCTGGTCCAGGAAAAAAAAATGCCCATGCAGAATATTATGGAGTTTAATTCTGGAGAGGCCTAAAATTTTAAAAGTTACCTCTGTGCTTTGGCAATACTGTTGAAACTACCTGCTATATGCAGTGAGTTAGTTCCACACCACTGCAGAACTGTCTCTTCCTGTGAGCTGCGGCACATACTAACACTGAAGATGTTGCCTTAACATATTCAGCAATCTTTTCCATGGAACCAGCAAAACCGTTGTATACAGGTGAATTTACAACTTCCTGCATATCTTTTTTTTTTTTTTCCAGAGGTCCATATAGAATATATTTTAAATTTCTCCTTTAAATTTCTCCTTTAAAAAAAATAGTTATTTCTAGAGCTTAGAATTGTATAAAAATATGTTCATAATTAATTGAAAATATCCAAGTAAGCAAATAGTAAACAAAATAAAAGTGATGCACATTAAATTCATTTAAAAGTTCTCCCTATTTTAACTTGGACTGCATTTCACTGTACAGTCTCTGGATGTTTTAAGTGGGAAACATATTAAGCAAGGAATAATTAAATGTACATAATCATCAGCAAATCCACTAAAAAACTGGCCTTTAAAAAATGAGATTACCTAGTGGGGTGATAATGTTTGCACATGGACATGATTGGGTCTCAGCTATATCCTTGATGATTGGAGATACTCACAGACTAGCTAGATTTTTTTAAAAATGGCAGTTTTTTTTTCTTTGCAACAGCCTTACAAAACAGCTTTTAATAAGTACTAGATTGCATACGGAATAGCAAGTAGTCATTTCATCCATTTCTACCTTAACCTGATGTAAACTTTTAAACGTTTACCATAATATCGAGTTTGTATAAGAGCATCAACAAAAGACAAATCATTTCATGTTTATTTTGTAATACCAATCAAAATCAAAGGTACCAGTCCAGGCTGCTTCAGAAGGTGTACAAAAACAGTATTTTAACTACTGCATCACAGCTCATATTACAATTTTAAGATTAATTATCTCCCTTCCTCTGCATTTATAACTGTATCATGTATATTCCTTTTTACAAACAATGACCTCCAAAAATATATGCATGTTCCATATGCATTTTTTCATTATGATGTTTGGCCATTAGACATGTGTTTTGGACAAGTGCAATTCACTCATGCATTTTTAGATGCCCCAGGATTTATGAGGTCTTTTTCTACTCTACCTTACCTCCCCCAACCTCCCAAAACACTCAGGGCTGAGGCAGCTTCCAACTGCACAGTCAGAAGCAAATATCTCCAAATTTGGACTTCCTTCAGCTATCCGTCACAGTTGGCAGGGCAATGTTGATTACCAATTGATGAAATCCTGTTTTTTTTTTGTCTTTCTTTCTTTTTTATCCACCCACCCAGAAGACTGTTGAATGCAGATATTAGACAAGTCATTAACCAGTTACATTCACTGCCTTCAACACAGTCACTTGCAACTCATTCCTTAAGAGCTTTTCTGGGCAAGGAACAAGGGGCCAACACAGCCTAGTGTACAAGATGCCACTGCCCACTTATCCGAACCTTTGAATCCTCTATGATAGAGGGAAGCTTCTAAATGGAACTCATACCAGCTGCTCCCCTGAAGGCAATGGCAGATGCTGGCATTGCTTTCTCATTCTCACAATGATCGCTGTCATGTAGATCCTTTGCTTGCTGTCAGGAAAAACGAAGCTTATGTATCAGCAGCTTGCAGCATTTGCCTATGTGAGATCAGCAATCCTAGTGCTCGCAGTTCTTTAAATGGTTGTAAAAGCTGGTTATAGTGTTCACACCCAAAAGGCAAGGCTATTTTTTCAACAGAGGAGACTGTTTGGTGCTCCGCAGTGTTCTAAAAAAAACTGTGAGTTAGAAAAGATGGGGTAATCCTTTTGTTATTTTTCTTTTCATTAAATCATTTAGTAATAGTCTTCATAGTTCTTAGGGTTCAGGCAATAAAGAATGGCACCCCCAAATGAAAATATAGTTGCACCCCATGCCAGGCCATAGCCCCAGTTGAACTCATGGTATATTTTCAAGCTGACTGTTTCGATGAACTTGATCGGATAAAGGACTAAGCTGCACACCTGAAGAACAACTGAAAGAGAAACAAACCAAATGTCAGCAGACACCTTAATTCATTTCCCTAAAACAAGGAAATCATCACAATACTGAAATTCATATTTCCATATGCTGAGTACAATTCACAAGTTACAGTTCTTTGTGAAGAAAGTATAGTATTCATTTCATCTACACAGAGCAGAACAGTTGCTGCATATTCACTTCATAAACAAATGCTATAGCTATAGTACAATTATCATCTTTCAATTGTCCTGAGAATAAGCAGTAAAAGCAAATCTTTTCACAATTCTTTTCTCACTATCTTTTAGTTCTAAGTCATTAATCTTTCTAAAAAAATGAAAGATCAGCTGTCCTATAGTTATTATAGGTCAAAACAATGAATAGGAAGAATAAAGAAATATTAAGAAATATAGCTCAGAATCAAATCATTTACTTAGCCTAGTAATAACTGTGTGATACATACTTACATCAGTGCAGTATTGCTAAATTAGAATGATTTCATATGCATTACTGCATTCATCATTAACAATATGAAAAGTTAATAAAACAGATCAAATCCAAGGAAGGAGAAAGCTTAAACATCATTACTTTCTAAAGTACTATCCCAGAGAAAGCCAGGAGATTTCATGCAGCCTGATCCACACTTATGCAGTGGCAGCCAATAAACCTGGTCAACCATCAAAACAGCAAATAACAAGTAACCTTAAAATGAAAACACAAAGATTAAGGATTCCAATTTTCAAATGAAAAATTCAGTTTCATCAGTGAATGTTACACTTAGTTTGAAGACAAGAACAAGCTATAGAATCTAATCATTCTTTATGTTCTAGTTCTACCATCCACAAACAACTAAACACCACAGCAATGTAGGCAACAACCTTTTTGCCCCTCAAGTACATGATATGACCTTATCCCAATGCCTTCTTCTTCCATCATTTAATGCTATCCTTTTCAAAAAAGATTTCAGCACGCAAGTCATTTTGTGAACATGCAGTCCTCTCATCACAGTTAGGGTGAGCACATCCACAAATACAGTTAAGTATTTGCACGGTTAAGACATACTCCCATGAAAGTTTAATAGTATGCAACAACTACTTTCTTTAACATTGTTTGGGGCATTTTTTACAGTTTGCTTGGTATTGTAAAGAGTAAGAGTATTTTGAGACTGTTTTTATCAAGCCTGTGCCAATACAAAATGTTATCGGAAAATAAAACAGAAGACTGCTGTTCTTCTGAAACTACAGCAATAAAATACATCAAAATAAGGTGTCAGTGATATTCTCCTATACTTCTTGCACATCAGAAATGTCATTTGCCTTTTCAATCTCCCATGCACTCTTTAGTATTGTCAACATGGCACCTTTCAGTAGCCCTGCAGGCTAACACTTTGCTCTCCTCTGGATATGAACTGCTCTGAGGAAATTATTTCCAGTGTTTTCCATGCATCCTTTGTGATATCACTCTACAAAACGTCAATCATATAATGATTTCTTCCCCCCTCACCCCGCTAGTCTATGGGTTCGTCGTTGGACTCTCACTGAAGACTGACAATTTGAATAGTGTTGGCATAGTGCTTTTTTTCCCTCTGTGAATACCAAAAGCCATTGTGTAAGGATTTTTACTACTAGTTACTGAAGTGGTTTTTTTTTTTTTTTGGTTTCTTTAAATTATTTTTTTAAATTATTTTCTTTAATTTATTTTTTGTATATATTTTTTTCTGCCATGTCCAACAAAAGATTGTGCAATA